GGGGGATAGGGCCAGGCAGGGCAGGGATCGGGGGGGGCTCAGGGGGCAGGTGAGGGATGGGGCTGGTCAAGGAAGGGATATGGGGGCTCAGGGCACTGGGGGGGATGGGGCCGGGCGGGGCAGGAATCAGGAGGACTGGGGGAGCAGGCAGGGCTGGCAGGGGTTCCCCCCTGGTCCCCTCCCCCCACCTCTTACTTAATGGCAGTGGAGCCTGGATCCAGCTCCCTGCTGCTGTCACACTGCCTGCCCTGCATGGGCAGGCAGTGTGCTTCAGCACCAGGGTGAGGGCTAACCATAGAAACACTCTGGCAGCCAGAGCGTCTCTGTGGAGGACCCAGCCTCCAGTTGTCTCAGGGCAAATTTGCAGCACAGGGAACATTTTGTCATTCATGTACGTGCCTCTTGCAGCGCCTCAAATGGGTTTGAGACTCTGCAAGAGGCATGTGCAGGTTCATCTGGATGCGCCCTATGTGTGCGTTTTGCAAAGCAAGACCCAACGTGTGATTTTATGGGACAGAGAATAAAAAAAAAAGTTACAGGTAAGATTTTCAGAAGTGTTCAGGGTGAACGTAACTTTTCTTCAGTTGAAATAACTGATTTCAGTGGGGTCAGTTTTGCACCAAACTGAGTTACTTAGAAAATCCTCCTCTCTTTTTAAAATTGCGTATGTGTGGAGTGCTCATTTTAGCCAGTTTTTTGACAATTAGAGCATAACCCGAAAGAAAACTCTTATCATAATGTAATGCAACGAATCAATAAAACTACTCATATGAGTAGGGCAGGCACGATTTGACTAAAGGTGCCATTCATGAAAGACCTAATTGTCCTTCACATAAATTTTGCCTTCGGATACATGCATTTAGCTGTCATTTGGAATCAATGGAAACAGAGAACAAATATCTGAGAGAATGATGTTCTTTTTTAATGCACAAACAGCTAATTTCATTTTTAAAAAGCAACTGCAAATGATTTTGGTATTTTTAATATGAATTTTTTTATAGGAAATATTTTTAAGTAAAGAGAGTAGTTAAATAATTTTACTGTTGATCAAATTAACTGGACAAACACTGCATACTCTTAATCATGTTAAAAACTTAAATTCCTACTTTTGTGTTAGGATAAAATTATTGTGTCCCTTAAAGCATTATTAATTCTACGTATATTAGAAGTACATTCTACATAGAAAACCACACATGGCATTAGCTTCACTTACCAAGGGGAGGTCCATGAGTCATTAGTATATCAATGCCCTCAGGTATAAGGTTCCACTTGTCTAGCAAAGACTGACCTCTGGGTAGGTTAAATCCCCATCCATTAAACCATGGTGTCCTTTGGAGGAAAATAAGACAAACTAAATCAGTTTGATACAAGAATCATTCCTTTTTTCAGAATATTGAATTAAATTTTTTCAGTACTCTGTCAGGCATGTGTCATGTCTTTTTAAGATTACCTGTAGGTAGCACACCATTTATTTTTGGAAGGGTCTGCCCTAAAAGTGTTTACGTGGGCCCTACACTATAAGTTGGACCCTAGGGATTGGGTCTATCCATTACATAGAAAAGAGACAGTCAACATAATCACTTCTGGAACCAAACTTCTTCAAAATGAGATGTTCACTTCAAATATTTGTGTTTGAGCCCATCTCTACAAACAAAATTATTTGTGAGACGGGGAGGTTTGAGAGGACCACAGTAGTGGAGGTGATAAGCCCACAGAAAAGTCATGCTTTCCCTAAGTACAAATGTCAGAGACATTGATCTAAGTATCAATACACTATTTCTACCCTGACTGTGCCATGGTAAATTCCACAGCACTCTGTACTATTTATGTTTATTTTCTCCAGCACCAGAGCGTTAAGAAATTATTCTACTGTGCACACCTGAATATTTCAAAGCCATCATTGCTCTCACATCTGTAAGAACCTTTAAAAGATATCACACAAATTTTAAAAAATCAATACAGGTATAATTTGGGGGAAAAACTTAGGCCTTGAGTTTCCCCTGCCATAGAAGTGATCATGGTTCACTGTTATAGAAGCCATCTGACACTCTCTGTATAGGCACAAGCTCTGATACGGAAAACATGAAAGCAAATTTGAGCAGTTTTGCTGTAAAAATAAAATGCTTGTAATATGAGAAGTCCAGAAATAAACAGTTCTGCAGTGACACCATTAAGATAAAAGTAATTATATTCTCACATCCATTACTAACAATGTTTTAGGTTATCATTAGAAGTCAAAGAATTGAAAAAGCTTCACTTGCATTTCCCTGCTTCTGCATTTCACAAAGAACAAACAATGAAATTAGACATGTGAGTTTTACTTTATATTAGGAATACTCCCAGAGTAAAACCTCAAGTCTAAACAGCCTAGCAAAGCAGGGCTTCTTGCCTAGACTTTGGGCTTTTCTCTACATTTTAGCTCCTTCCCACCCATCCTCCAGTCTTTTTGTACCATTATTCTGAAATGGACCATCCACATGGGGAAAAAACTTCAAGAAAATGTTTACTTTGTCAGTTCAAAATGAAATCGTTATAAGTAATATATGCCCGTCCTGTAAGAACTGTTTCTCATCTCAATCTGGACCAAAATTAAGCTGCTACTTTTCCTTTGACATTATTATAAATCTAATTAATTTTTCATTTTTATAATAAAAATGTATTGCTTTTATCAGAAATACCTGGTGAAGAATTTAAATCAGAAATTAGTATTATGAATATGTACACAATCAACAGTATATGCAAATGATAGATTCTAATATCACAAAGATAACACCTATGATAATATAATAGATCTTGCAACCTATAGTATGTACTACATAGGGGTGCACCGATAGCTAATTTTTAAGGAGGCACATCAACCCATGCCAATCTGATTTCCGACACCAGCCCGGCAGCTTGTAGAGCTGCATGTAGCTGCTAAATCTGGTGTGGTGGAAGGGGAGTGGGGAGGTGTGGGGGGTGTGGGGGAGGCAGATCAAGGCCCCCGCAGTGAGGGAGGAGTGGGGCAGGGGTTGGGGCAAGCACTGCCCAGCCAGGGTGGGTGCGAGACGGAGCCGTGGCTCATCCAGGGGGCACAGGGAGAGGGGAGGCAATTCCTGCCACTGCACGTCACTTGTCTGGGAGCTGCTGGTCCGCGCTCACCTGCTGGTCTGGCGGCTGCCTCCGCAGCTCCTGCTGCTCATCTAGGAGGGCATGAGGGGTGGGCATATGCCCCTGGATCTGTGCAGGGCAGGGCAGGGTGGGCTGGGAAGAGACCCACACAGCCATGTCCCTAGCCCACCCCACTGGGGGTACCCAGGGGCACATGCCCCCATGCCCTCCTGGATGAGCAGTGGGAGAAGTGGTAGAAGCCACTAGACAAGTGGGTGAGCACCAGACCAGCAGCTCTCAGATGAGCAGCACGCTGCAGCAGGATCCATGCTCCCCTTTCCAGGCCCCCTGGATGAGCCACGGCTCTGTGCCATGAACACCCCAGCTGGGCAGTGCTTGCTTCAGCCCCTGCCTCAGCCCCGTGCCTCCCTCATTATGAGGGCCTTGATCTGGCCCCCCACATCCATTCCCTCCCCCCTCCCCTTCCACCACACCAAGCCTGGCCTGTCCTGACCTGGGAACAGGGTCAGGGAGGCAGGCTGCCTGAGACCAGCACCCAGCGACCTGCTGGCCCCAAGGGAGTAAGCGGGGACAGGGGGTTAGGCTGGCAGGCACCTGGGCCCAGGCCTGCCTGCCTGACTTACCATGGACCACAGGTACCTGTGCATGCCCAAAACCTGATCTGAGGCCAGGCAGCACACAGCCCTTGGTACAGAGAATCTTATCTCAGAAATGTTGTAAATTCTCACAAACAGCTTTTTTTTTGTCATGGCTCTGCAGCTGCACATGGGGGAGAGGCCAAAGTTGTCAGCCGGAATGAGGGTTCATGGTTGCCGTCACCCATGCCCAGGGCCCTGCATATGCCCCAGCTCTGCAAGGAGGACCCAGGACTGCACTGTTCTCCTGGACTGACTTGTGACAGCTGCAGAGGACTGTCTGGTAGATGTATAGGCCTGGCGGGCAAAGGATGTCACCCATAAGAATGTGCAGGACTGAGAATACTGGGTGCAGCTCCTGGTGCATGAGTGCATGGAGACCCTGCAGGAACAGTGTGCATGTGGCCAGGGCACTGGAGGCCACAGAGGATGATCACTGGGTGCTGCACACTGTCTTGGCCCTGGAGGTCACCTTCGTGCTGCCTGCTGCCCTGCCCCCGATCACAGCCCTGCCTGGCCCCTGGCAGCTGCCTGTTGCCCAGCAGCAGGACCCCTCATGGGCCTGGGTAGAGATCCAGTGCCGCCTCCACAGGTCAGGAGCCCCTGCTCTGGCCCCCACCCCAGGTTCCCTGCCACCCAGCTGTTCCCCCACCCCCCAGAGGTGGGTCACAGTAGGGAGAGCCACATGGCGGTGTCCTGCCACTCCACGTACAGGCAGAGCTGCTCCAAGAGGTCCAGGAAGGTAGCCCAGGTCATTCTAACACCTCCAACCATTGCTCATCATCCCAGATCTGCTGGACAATGTGTAGCCACCAGTCCTGGCTGGCCAAGTGGGACCAGAGGTGACGGAGCTGGAGGTCCAAGAGGCTATAGAACTTATAACAGCTTTTTTTTTTTCTGTTTGTAGACTGTTATCAAATCTTCCCTTGCTCTTCTCTTCTTTAAAATAAATATCTAAAATTCTTCCAGTCTTTATTCATATGCTATTTTTTCTGGGCTTCTAAACATTTTATTGCTGTCCTATGGACACTTGCCCATTTGTCTAATCTTTCTTCAAGTGTGGTGCCCAGAATTGTATCTGGTATATTCCAGGTGAGATCCCAACAATTCTAAATCCAGTGCTACTGGTATTAGCAAGGTTTAGGTGAAGTGAAGCAGGTTTGTGAATTTTACCTAAGTTACACCTGTGGTTATGCTAGCCTTTTCTTTTCTAATAAAGTTTTTTTTCTAATAGCTTCTGAAACACAGTTGAACTAGGTAGTTACCTTTCCTGTACTCTATCACTGTAGTTGCTAGCATACTCAGATGATCATATTTCTCAGGGTTAAGAAATTGGCAAACAATTCAGCTAAATCTTACGTTATCTAACAAAACAGTCAAAAAATGCTATAGCAACACAGATGTGGACCAGAGTTTGAATTTTTCACTATTAATGATTTTTAACTCATTTGAGTTTCTCCTGAAGAGAGTTCTGTAGTTGTAAAATCATAGTTAAGCCTGAAATGCAAAACTACAGCTGTGATCTAATTGGAGCTCCTTGGAGAATTATATAGAGAATAAGTCTAGATGTGTCTGCACTAGTTTTTGTATTGACTACTGGTGAGGGCGGAGGAGGAGAAGTGAATCCAAGTTCCTGTGTAACCTGCATTCACCAGATTTCATTATTAGCTGTGACTAATAGATACCACATGGGAACCAACTTGTCAGAAAATTTCTAGGAAATTGCTCAGATTGCACAGTGTGCGCCCAAAGAGTGAAGTACTCTCTTTAATAAACTAAATATTTGCATAAATAATAATATATATTGTGGTAACAGAAAGAATTGTAGGATGTCAGATTTAAATAGTCATTTCGAGTGTAACTATTTCAGCTTGAATCTACTAAATTCTGTATATTCAGCCAATGGTGATACATAGGGGGTGCATGTGCACCTCTGGATACTGGTGCACCCCCTGACAGCCAGCATTCCCTGCTTAAGCGATGGGCGGTGGGGGCAGGTGAGAATGTCACCCATAAGGATGCCCCCCCCCCCCGAGAGTGCTGGCCAGGGAGTGGGGGCGCTAGGAGAAGTGATCTCTGAGGTCCCCCCATCGCCAATCATGCCGAGCACTTCTGGATCAGCATGACACTTCTGGGTCAGCACAATCAGCTATGGAAGGACCACCCCTGTTGGCATGATCGGCCATGGAGGAAGCCCCCTGCCTTGGTCACTGACTGACCACTGGGGGGAGGAGGCAAGTGCCCCCACCTCCAACTCAGGGGGCACCAGTCACCCATGTATTCAGTGAAGTATTGTGCCCTGACCAAGGAGAGTCACTTATGCAGCCTCAAGTTTTGAGGGATAACAGAAACTTGTTAAAAAGGCAACACAAGAGAGCACTTGTTCAGAACAATGCCAGTAACACCACAGGCTTATGATACAGACTCAGGTTTAAATGAGATCACAAAAAGGTCATCCCACATTTGTACTATTTTGTGTTGTGGTGCAGGCAGAATGGAGCTGATGTACTGTGACTCCCTCGAGTGGGCAAATGAAAGACTGTTTACTGCCAACAGACTTTAAGGCTAGGGAAAGAAGTTATA